CTTTTTAACAATTTTACCTCAGCAGCATCTTCAGTTTATCGAGCAGCAGATGCAGTAATGTTGTTTATGTTCTCGTATGAGAATATGATTTATGCTTAGAAAGTTACAAACCATTTATTACAAATTTTTAGACTTATAAATGGAAGGTGGTAGTAACACCATGATTTGCCCCTGCATTTTGCCTAGGTTTGATAATTACACATATTGCAATTGCTAAAATGCTTTTTTTTTAATGATCAGTGTCTCTAGGGGATTTTTTTTCACATTCCCCATTGAAGTGTATCTCGTGTAGTGTATTTGAACGTATCAGTTGCTGTTAAATGTTGAAATGTATTTCACAAACGGCTTGTGACAATTTTTTGCAAAAATAGTAGGAATGTTTTTTCCTTCCAAGCAATAACTTCCTGAAAAAATTCACAGCCCCTTGTGGTGTTTATTTACAGCCACAGTACCATATTTATAATTGTTAAAAGATCGTTATGCATTGTAGTACATGTGGACAGTTCTACGGTAACGTGGGCACATTTTGCCCGTTACACTGTAAAAACAATGTTTAGCTCCTAAACACATGTCTAAGCGCCTGTTTTGTCTCATTTTTTCGACGCGTTTAGCTCCTAAGCACGTTTAGCTCCTTAACATGTTACACGCTTTGACGCGTTTGGCGCCTGATAAATGTAGGATGTGTTTATTTAACTTTCAGGTGCTAAGGGTTTCAAATGTTTTAGTCACACACACACACACACACACACACACGAACTCACGGTCACCTTTAACTGCTATAGCTATCTCTATCTATAACAGGGTACCGTGAACTGTCAATATCGTTGACTTAACACCATAACTTTTACATCTGGACTTTTTCATTCTTGTGTTAGCTGAACTTGCGAGGAAGTTTATTGGAATGTATTTTGAAAAACAAAGTACGAAAATTCACTAGTTCACTAAAGACACGAAACAACTATCACCTTTACTTTAAAAGACCTTTTTTCATATTTTAATAAAATGCGTTACGGTATTGATTCTATTTTTCCGGAAGTAATGACCAATAGAACACCAGGATGATGGTGGGGTATTCATTATAATAGTTTATTTAAGCCTTCATCACATGCTCTTTATTTCGGTACCGATAACCCGAATATTCTACAATTCGCACCGCTCTAGTCGCTGACTAACCCCGAGCCCATTTTGGAATTAACCGCTAAATGTAGTTCATACAACATAAGACGTGTTTTTGTTATTTATGAAAAAAAGTTTTCAAAACATTATGTTTTTCCAGAATGTTATAAAAACGCTGATAAAACTCCACAAAATAACGTTATAATAAAATTTTGGAGAAACGGTCTTCGAATCTTTCTACAAATTACTATAATGTTTTTGTTATCTGGGACATCATTTTGCATGGATTTAAAAACACCCATAACTTTACCATAATGTTGATTGCCAGTAACACATATATACCACTTCTACTAGATTCTTATACGACTAAACTAAAGTCGACATAAGGGATAAAGTGAATAAATCACTCGATCAGCCATAAAAGAGCTTTAGACTGCTCTTTAAATTTTTGGTTAGAAATTTAACCTACTAATGTGACCTTTTCTGCCCCATGTATATACAGGATAGTAAGCTAGCAGAAAATCCATTCAAATATCATTTTTTTTCGGGTAATATTAAACATGCCTTCTGGCAATTTTCTTAATTATACTGTTTGAAACTATATGCTGACATTTGGTTGTTTTTTGTGGCAATAAATTGATTTTGTATGCATCTTTAATAGGCCTTTTTTAAATAAGCACACGTTACTGCAAGGAAGGACACCAAGCGTTCGAGCAGGCACAGCTCCACACGTTTACAATGGGAAGTGCTAAGCCAAATTGTTGAGCCTTGTAATTAACTTATGGGACCGGTGAAACTAATCACAAAGCTAAAAGTGCGACATTTCTAAGCATGTTAAACATTTTTATTTCTTCTGAAAGAAGCTTGAAAAGCTAAGCGTGTTGTTCAGCTACCCTCTACCAGGGCGACAGATTGATTTTTCGCAGATATTCACAGATATATCTCTAGATAAATAGACAGTCATTTCGGTCTGATGTCGCCTCAGCAAAAAATGTCCACAATAACTGCGGCCCTGGTAGATGGTTTTGTTCAGCAGCTCCACGCTTTTACGAATTCCACACCTATAGCAGCTCCATATGTTTAGCAGCCTCACGCGCTTAGCAGGGGAAGTGCTAAACCAATGTGCTTAGCTTGTGACAGACTTACTATAGGTTCATATACCGGTGAAGCTAAACACATAGCTAAACGCGTAACACTGCCAACGTGTCTAGCATTTTCTTCTGTGAAACGCTTGAAAAGCTATACGTGTTTAGCTTTTACACATATTTCTAAATGCGTATAGGTGCTTAACGTATGTTGTATGTATTTAAATGCTAAACACTGTTTTTACAGGGTACATTATGTTGGAATGTTGGAATTTCTAAGGCGCTATACGTTTTATTAACAGTCTTTTGTACAATTAAATCTCTTCCTCTTTTTCGATTTTTTCCATATGAATTTTACGTAATGCGGCTGCAATGTCTTTCCTTCCCAGAGGTCATCATTATTTAAAATGAATAAGAGTACATCTTTATTTTCACAATTTATTGTCAAATTGTCAAATTGCAGATTTGCCCACACATATTTTCAGTGAAAAATAGAAATCATGTCTCTTCTTGGAAATTAATAAATGATAATTTTGAAACAACCACTTTATCATTTTTATATAGACATTACAACCCAGACCCGAAGTATACCTTCATAACACTATTATCAGACAGAGCACTGTACTACGACATAGTAACACACAATTACCAGAAGAAGCAAACCAGCATCATGGAGGGCGGAAGCTTAGTACGGATTTATTTCCATGAAAAGTATCATAAATAAAAGGCTAATTTCATTCGATTTGATATATGTTTTGGAGCATAATGTTATAACCAAAAACAAACATAGCATTCCGCAATAAACGTCGTCCCTGCAAATTAACGAGCACACAAACGACCACATAGGAGACAATCTTGGCATGGGTGTGGGACTGTACATGTATGTGCCGATCACGAAACGTGTATCTGAGTAGGCCGCTTCTGGTATCTTCGTAAACGGCACTTAATCACTGGAATTAAAGAAATAAATTCACATTCATGAAACTATATCTAAAGATTTGATAAAACAGAACATGTTTATTACTGCAATTCGTGTCAGTATCCTTTTCGTTATAATTAATTAGTTAAAATTATACAAATATATATGTTCATATTTAACCCTCATGGAAAGCTTATGTTATCAGAAACAAAAAGGTGCCGAAAAAGCACCGAGGGAAAATATCCTTCACGTTAGTTAGATGTCCCCATGGTCATTATGCCTACAGTGCACCATTTCGGGAAAATATAGTCAATGCAAAACTAGGAAATGTTACAATGCATTTTCTATCATCACTACGGAGCTTACGAGATACTGCTGCCGGTTTTAGAGCCATCTTTTCGGCCTACATGTGGCAGTAGCAGTAATATGGCATGAGACATCCTTCTTCTCCATCTTCTGCTGACCTTGGTCCTATCTGAGCACCTCTTACCAAAACGCTCACCTCATTTACATAATAATGTATAATCTTAATAGTATGTCAAAATGTTTATAGAAGATAATATACTATGTTTGCAATATAAGGTATATGTTTCCGATATGTACATTCCACAGAATATTTATTTTTGGAAGTTGAAAAATATGAAAAACTCATTTTAGCTACTTTTGCAAATATGTCATGCACATACTTGCAGCTGCCTATTTATTCCTGGAAGCAGGTTTCTTGTATGACCATTAAGAATATCTATTTTATAAATAAAATCTTTAATTTTACACCAATTTACTTCATTTAGAAATCCAATATGACTACCTGCTACAGTAGCTTGAATGTTAAAAAAATCGCACAAAAAAATGCGGTGGAGGTTGGTGGAGGGAGAGGACGCACAAGCATCACTGTGGTCGTAGAAAGGACACAAAAGCTGGCCAGCTTTGGTTGCAGAATGAATGCACATAATTTTTCTTTTACTCTCAAACGGGGCTGTACTGGGATAATTTTCTCCAGAGGCAGTATATCTGAGGGTAACAGCTACTAGCGGTCTCAAATCGGCCTCCATTTGTTTTTCTAAAAATTCTCAAACCGATCCATATTTGGAGGTAATTATGAAACGAATAATTTTTTTTTTTCAAGATACAGTTCTTGTTGCAGATTTTGCAAAATGCGTCTTTTATACGGATTCAAACATTAATTATATGTTGTTGTCAGTCGTCTTCGGCGCCTGTCCATCCTATCAGTGATCATCACTCCATGCAGACCTTGCATTTTAGTGTATTCTGAATAAAAAATATTCCTAATTATTTGTTTTATTTTCCTGGAAATGTTCTAATTTGGGAGACCGGGTTAGAACTGATGAACGAAATAGATAAGAGTCAGACTAACGCCCAAAAGACGCTCAACGGTCTTGCATGAGCCCAAAAGATAGTAGAATGGTCGCCACTTATCGCCGATGAACGTACAGAGAAAGCAACGAGGATGCTCAATGGTCGCTCTAATCATTGCAATGGACGACGTAGGTTGCACAGGGGACGCACAGGCAGGTCGCTCAGTGGACGCACAAGTCCGCAGTTTTACAGGTAAAATCTAGATTCGGTCGTTCAAAGGACGCGCAAGGGACGCAGAAGCATTTACACTGAGGCACGATTTAATAGCTATTAGAAGTCCTGAGCACATTCTTGATCGTATAAGGGATGCAGACAGGACGCCGTCCAGTGTAAATGGGGGTTTACATGTGCAGTAGTGTCTATAGAACAATCATTCCCCTCAATCAGTCGACGGACATCCGTTCCTTTCACGTTCCTGTGTGACGAAACTGGGGGTCCGTCTTACAGAGAGTCCGCCCTCCATTTACTTAGCCCAACTTAGGTGGGTCAAAATCTAGGGCGAGGCTTACATGTACCTGTGCAAATTAATGGGTACCGGACTCTCTATCATAGAGGACTCTCTGTCAAGTCACACCGGCCCACACCTGGGCCAGGTTATCACATCTTGATCTGAATGAAGTAAGCTAATCTGTTTGCGGTCACTTGGATCTCAATGATGGCCTTAATCGAATAAGTTTCAAATACAGCCGAAAAGGGGACGTCGCCCAGCAGCGTTGAGTTGAGGATTTGCGTGTGTAACAAATGGAGGAGGCAACTGCCATCAGGCAAACCTGCGGTATTCCTCTTTTATATAGTGCAGTTTTGTCATATTTGTGGTTTTCTATGAATTACACGAACGTATATGGAGGTGTCAGCTGTGACCCAAAAGGTCTATGTAGTGACTTCACGCATTCAATTTATGAAGGTCACATTCCATTAGTAGTCATGCCGCTGTCACTATCGGTATGACAGTGTAAATAGTGTGTATATTTAAGCTCAGAGTCCAGGAACAGCTTGGAGTCTTTAAGCTACGTTTGGGCTCTGCAAGTGATGCCCATTAGCAACGAGTACACAAAAGATGAATGTATCATGACCGCTGCCTGGACTGGACTAATGATGGAAATGAGAGGTCGATCTGCACCCCTGTCGAAGAGGAGTATCCCAGGGGCGTTGCTGAATGTGATATATTTATCCGGTTTTTTAGTACGTATGAGGCAAAATTTAGTTTTTGAGTTATTTAGACCATAAAAGAATGTGCACATGATCTTTACCTCTGTTTTATGTCTTCTACCCTGTAATTGATCGCTTAATATTCTCAGCCTATGGCACTGGATTCTCATATATCAATTCTATAATATTGTCAATTTATACCATGTTTCTTTGAACGTAGACTGTACAAACGCTGAAACAATAACTATAGCTTCGCACGACTGTAGCAAGATAGCATTTTACCGAAAGTCACATATTCCATGCTTTTTACGTACCACAGGACCTGTTCGGAGTTAGCTTAATTCTTCCGTGGCTTACCAGTTATGCAAAAGATCTAGGGGCGTCTGCCACTCTAATTGGAATGCTAGGTAGGTGATAAAGTTCAAAATGAATGTCTCAAGATTTAAAATTGTGTCTGATTTCCTATAGAATATATATGTACTGCCCAAAAAAAACGCAAGATTTTGTTTTGACCACAGTGCGTCAACATGCCCAGAAATGCACATTTTAGTCTGGTCACTGAAATCGGTGACGGCACCATCTCAGTCCTGCAGCAAAGTACTGATACGTTTGAATGATTCCAGACAATTGCTAAGCTTCAGATTTTCAGAAATCTCATCTGAACACTTTGGGGATAAATGTCTTAAAGATATCAGTTGTCTACAATCAGTGCTCGTGGACACTAGAATCAGAAATCCAAGTTAAGGAGACTGAATTCCATGTTGACATCATGCCACGGCTGTCGGGTCTGGACAGGGGTCGTGTCATAACCCATTGCCATTGACTTGAAGTATTATGGTTTGAGCAGGCATAAATGGCAGTTTCCAGACAGAACTCATGGTGATTGCAGTTATTGGTGGAGATCTGGCTGGCCAGTGGTACAGAGATGAAGTCCAGTGCTGCACCTGCTTCAGCAGGACAACGCCTGTCTCCATACTGCCAGGTAGTGCAGGCAAATAAAGTCCCGTAGCGTCTGCTGTAGACTATAACTTTAAACCACTGGTATGACACGGTACCGTCAGAGCGGTACGAGGCGAGTCGGCTTTAAAGTGAAACCATTAGTACCGCCAGCGTTCACGTTCTACTAAAGGTAACATGGACCTTCAGATAATGTAAATACCATACGGCTCGTGGGAGCTCTACGTCCCACAACGAAAATGCCAATATTTGAAAAATGAACGCTTCACACACACAAACAAAAACTGCATTATTTTAGGAAAAAATCTAATCAGTTGGGCTGTTTGTCCAATTTAAGCTGTATCACAAAGTCACACCCTCAAAATGACAAATGAACTAGCTGATTCATTGTTCTAAGCCGTACCAAATGGCAGCGTTCGCCCTCTAAATACCAAAAATAGAATGGGAAAAGATCTGTGAGAAGAATTAAATTGGTACTTTTGTTTGATAGGGTCTAGGTAAGATTTTTGGTCATTGTAAGGAAGTTAAATAGTATAAAAATTAACCTTACACGATGATGTCTTGTGATCACTAAGAAAGGCTCAAAATCTATGTGTGAAGATCGATTTGTGGTCAGAACTTTTTTATCAGAACTATTTTAGATTGTTCACCCCCCCCCCCCACCCCCTCCGCCCGAGCACCCACTATCGTCTCATTAGGTGAAAGAATACTGAAAAAAAAAAACGCAACAGGTAATACGTATTTCTACCGGTTGACGCCATGATGCTCTTACTTGTGTACGCTATTTTAAATTAGTCCCGTAGAGAAAGGCAGCCAATATGTCAGTATTTTAAGTAAAATATGAAAATGTATTTATTTTTATTTTACATGGATTTCTATGCCTTTCATGGGCATTTTCTAAACATTCCTTCTTCTGTCTTCGAGCCTAGCTTTGATTTCTTTTCGTTTAGGGGATGTTTGGCTGAGAAAGAAATGAAATATGATGACGAAAAGCTATCAATTCCTTCCCCACTGGTACCATTGGGATGGGGGGTGGAGTCCCCCCTTTACTTACTCACTCGCGCTCTGGTTAGCTGGAGTCCGCCATTGTCACCCTCAGTAACCAGGTATTCATGCAGTGCTGCAATTTTCAACATTGCTTAAAGGGATAATGACTCTTCATATGAGATCTATATTTCGCAATAAAAACATTGTGAATAACTCATAGAAATATAATATATTCTGTTTTACCACAGTAACGGTAGTTATAGCTATTATTCTGATATCTGAGCTTGTCTTTAGACCACATGACCTCCATTGATGGCTATACTCTGTTAAAATCTCTTAAGAGATTTTAACAAAAAACCAAACTATTTAGAAAAAAACCAGGGACTAACTTTGAATGTAAAAATGGATCCATTAACCATTGGTAAGTATGGAAAAATTGTTGTTTACTCCAGGAAAATTCATTTTTTGGCCGAAACGAAGAGTTATTATCCTTTTAATAACTAACATGGTGGCACGTGCAGTGATGCTACATGTATGCCACTAAGATCAGGGTGACTGGGCTTATTAGCTGTTACTGATATGACCAGCAATGATTTTTTCAAAATTATGCCTTGCAGTAATTGTAGTGTCCAGGCGTCCGAATACTTAGTGCAAAACTTAGTGCAGGTGGTGTCAACAGATTTAGTCAGCCTAAGGGTACACAATGCTTTTACACGGTTATTTATATCATGGACAAAATTAAGTTATTATGTCCAAGCTTATATACACATATACGCTCTTGTCTGCAACATTTCTCAGCCCCTTTTTTCCAAGTTTACAGATAAATTTAAGCAGTTGTAGATTTTTTTTTTTTTTTTTAGGGGGGGGGTTGTCAGGGGGGATGTGACCTCTGCCCCCCCCCCCTGTACCCTGAGTGTCAGAGAAACGTAAAAGCTAGCTTGCTAAATATACCTCGTGGTGTAGTCGCTTTTACGCTGGTATTGCGACATGGGTTATATATGAAATCAAGATCGAGCTGGCAATACCGGAATCTAGAACCTAGGGTACCCCCCTGTGATTTCTGAAAACATCATACCAATGGTCCCCTCTTTGAAATTAGAATTTTGTCTAGCAGACTCATAGTTCTAAACCGTACCAAATGTCACCATTCGCCATCTAAAATACCAAGGGGGTGGGGGGAGCGGGCGGCTTCGCTTCCGCGGACCCCTCCTTCAAATAATCCTGGCTTTTTAAACTTACAAGATATTATTCAAATGCAGACTGAGTTCAAAAATCAGTCTGATCAGATTATATTTCTTGAATTTATGCATTATTTGTGAAATGTCACAATTCTAATTTCGAGAGGGGACCATTGTTGTGATTTTTATCAGAAATCGAAGGGAGGTGGGGTGTCAGTACCCCCCTGACCCCACACCCTCACCCCACCCAAATCCGCCACTGTATTCCTACAGCACACTGTAGCTGGTGGCAACCACCAAACAACGCAGTCCGTCAGAAGAGCGCCAGAGAGCGATGCGCCGCGTACGGCACATTACATTCACAGAATGGAGGTGAAGACTATCTAAGGAAACGTGCAGTTATTTATATGTGAAGTGTGGTGTAGGGAAAAGAACAAAGATCTTTGCTCATGAGTTTTATTTCCAGTAAATGCCAAGAATGATTCTGATATCATCTTCTCTAAATCAGTAGAATAAAGAAATGCCTCCAACTTCACTTGTTGGTGTTTACAAGCAAACTTGAGTCTATTTACAACCTAAAAACATGCCCATTCCGAACTTAAACATGTACAGTCATGAGAAAAGACTAATTAAAAAACGCATTTTGACATCAAAATATGTAATTGTTTAATGAAAAATGTAATTTTGACACAGATTAATTTACTTGTGTATCACGAACGTTATTAAGAAGCAGGTAATAGGATGATTATCAGTTTATACAATTACAAGTTGTCTTTAAAATTTTCCTGTGAGCCAACAACTATAGTGGCCAACAAGATTTTTAGCTCCAAAATCTTTTTGCTTCTAATATTTTGACTGTTATTGTTATTTTTTCTCTCTGTTTTCGCCTTAATTTTCGCTTCAAAGAAAAAAAGAGAGAAAATATCCCAATAAAATTCAACCCTGTCGAACGCAAATAAACAGAAACTCAGTTAAAAATTTTAACTGTTTGCCGATATCAATTTTCACTCACTTGAAAACCTTAGACACGCACTTTTTTACTTATTTATCATAAGTGAAACCTTATCTTAGGCGTGCGATTTTCACCAAAAGCCATGTCGTCTGCAGCGCAACTCTGAGTCACTATATGTTCTTCACTCGTGGAATGATTGTGTTAGTGCAGAAAATTTCTTTCTCGCCAGAAGACAACTGAAAACTTTGATAAGATTTTTTTAATCATCACAAAAATCATCAAGGCCGTCAAAATAATCAGCATTACAAATCTCTGATGTGAGCATCACTTCCGACCCAGACTTATATTACTAAAGGGGACTTAATTTGCATATAAAAGACAAAATGCATTTTTTTCTGATTTAGGCTTGTCTCCAATTATTTCATACTTAAAAAAGTAGTGTCCCCTTTTGCTCACAAATTGGGACACTTTTGATCTACATGTTTGTAGATTATGTAATTTAAAATAAGTTTTATATCACAGACGCGTATCACTTTTTCACTCCACGGCCATAAAACTCGAATGATAGCTGCATGGGTATAGAATTAAGTCAATTGCCTGTATAAAATTGCCATACGATTATTGATTTTTTTTAGTGTGGATCGTTTTATGGGGAGACAGAAGTGGGAGGGGTATCAAGATGCCAGCAAAATATTTTGGATGCATGGAGGTTACTAAGAGACAGAGTATATTGCAAACTTTTGAAGGGAGAAGTACAATTAGCCCACATCACGAGCTTCACCATGTAGAACTTTACAGATGTCACTGCCCCTGTCTATTTCATCTGACACTCCCCAAAATTTTGCGGACCTCGTTACCTGTTCAGGTCCCGGGAAGTGCGGAGCATCCAGCGTGGTGGCAGACACATTGCGTTCACAAGAGGGAGTAAAGATTTTTCAGGGAAATGTTGTATTTACTTACATCTGATGAAACGGGCGATACAGGAAAGAGAATGCACTTCTTCGAATTTATTTTAAGTAGGCACATGAAAGATTAGATACTGATATTTCTTCTCGGAACTGGCAGAATGAGCAAATGCTAAAGGCCATAACCTATCTCCCCTAAGAACGACATATCCTATTCGTGAACCCTTGAGCTACTTTCCAATAGCTCGCAAGGGCTACTACAAATTGTTTAGCACAGGGGCGGATTGAGGCCGTCTTCTGGGTCTTCTAGAAGACGGTCAGTTTTTCAAGTTTACATTGAGTATGTAATTTTTTCTGTCGGAAGACGGTCAAAAATGGAGAATGGATCAACAAAGATAATTAGGAAGACTGTCATAAAATATCTCTGGATCCGCCCCTGTAGCAGGTCTAGGTTCTTAACATTGTTCGCACTTATGCACATTTTTGAATTCATGGACAGTTGGACTATTACTCACAGATCATTCGACAGAAGTCTATTGTTTTCTACTATAAACATTTTAATTGCAAATAATAGTTCTGAACTCAGAGAGCTGATGACGGTGAAGGTGACTATATCTCCAAGCCCACAGCTGATGATAAGGCTGGTTATGGTCTGCACATTGCCTACTTCATCATAATTTACAACTGTAAATACATTTCTTTTATGATGATTTGGTTGAGACCCAGTGACCCGACGTACATTATTAGCTCCCCCGCAACATTTGCTTCTGTGTGTGTGTGTGTGTGTGTGTGTGTGTGTGTGTGTGTGTTGTGGGGGGGGGGGTATTTCGTTTTCACTTAGGCCTTTTATGTTAACAATTAGTTTATGTGTTATGTTCAAATTAACATGACACCCCTTTGGCTATGATTAGGGGGTACGGACACTACACGTTCAAGAAACTGATGCTTTTATAACTGAAATAATATATTTTTCCTTCTATTTGTGTCAATATCAAATGAAAAATATTAAAATAAAGATCCAGCAATTGAAAAGAAATAAAAATAAAACAAAAAAAGGAAGTTTTTGGAGAATCACCGCACTCCAGATAAACAGGTCTGATTACTGATGTGTAAAAGCTTACAAGTTCATTGGTTGGAATACTGTTATTATAATGCGTTGCCTGTCTGATTTCACACTATCTTGACACTCTGTTTCCTCTCAGCTAGGAAGCTGTAAATCCAGTTTGAAATAACTCCTCGGATACTTAATTAGACAGTTTTTGATTGAGCAGGATGTGGTCTATTCTATTGAATGCTTTGGTATAATCGACCAAAAGCATTCTGGCATATTGTCCTAGAGTGTCAGTCTGCCTTGCAATAAGGTCTATGGCTTTGGTCAATGCGTATGTCGTACAACTCCCTTTCATGCTGCCGACCTTCCTAAGGTCAAACTTATTGGTCACAATGTCCCAAATCCATTTAACAATAAAACCCTCCAATAACTTAGAGAGCACCGGAGTTAGAGATATGGGTCTAATGTCTGTCTCTATGGTCTTTGGAGGAATGCACTTAGGTAGTGGTGACACATATGCATGTTTCCAGAGTGGTAGGACATATCCTTCACGAACTGATGAGTTGAATATAGCACATACTGGGGTGGCTAGGTACCCTGCTAGGTCATGTAGGATCCAGTTGGGAACTTCATCGGGACCTGTAGACTTGTGTACGTTTACTTGGAGCAAGGCTTTTTTGACATCTTGTTTTGTGATTATATATGTGGCTGGTACATGGTCTGCTGCTTCCACATGTTTCGGTTCAAGTGGCACAAAGTCATTTGTGACAGATTGTAAGAAAGTGTTTATTTTCTGGGCTAATAAGCTGAGATCACCATTGCACTCACTGTTAGCCAAGCCCAGTAAGGAATTATTTTGTGTTGTTTACCCTGTTAGCAACTTAGAGGGTGAACGGTGCCATTTGGTATTTAAGAGGGTGAACAGTGCCATTTGGTACGGTTTAGCACTATGATTCAGCTAGTCAAAATTCTAATTTCAAGAGGGGACCAGAAATCGAAGGGTCAGAAATCAAGACCCCCATGACCCCTCGTCTAAATCCACCACTGGTTCAACCAGTTATCCACTTTATATGTTATCTGTTTTGGTTATATACTGATTTTAAGTAGTAAAACTTTTGAAAACAAGGCAGCAAAGCTGTCAAATGTACAGACAAAAAAACAAAATAAGGATGCAGAAAATAGGTCATTTTGTCAATTTTGATGCAATAATAAATAATGCTTATAATAGCATAGTCAATCAACAATGAATATTAATCATGCAAAGCAGCTAACATGGTCAATAACAGGAGCGAATCCAGAGATATTTTCTGACAGTATTTCCAAGTTATCTTTGTTGATCCATCCTCCATTTTTGATGGTCTTCCCAGAGAAAAAATTAGATACCCGTCAATGTAAACTTTAAAATCTGACCATCTTCTGGAAGACCCAAAAGACAGTCTCAATCTGCCCTTGCAATAACATTTCAGTTTCAGAACCGTGAGAGTTCAAATTCACATATTGAAAATCCCAATCCTGGCAGCAGTGTCCAAAATAGGGTTTTCTTCAACTTTAATGCAATATAACATTATGCTTAACAGCATAATGACCATCAATTTAAAGTATCATGGATATTCAGAAAATGTGACTAACAAAGCCCTTCAAGCCAATGGAAGTTCAAAGTCACACCTTGAAAATGCCAAAATGTAAACAAGAGATGACTGTACTGAAATGATTTCTTTCCATTTTCACCATCTTTTTTTTTTTTTTTTACATAAAATAATTAATTTACTGTCATTTTCTAGTGATCAACTAAGAAAGTTGTTGACATGGGGAAAATATCATTAGAACAATTTTAATTGTCCAATTCGCTCCATTCTAAGATTCTGAAGAACGGGAATGATTGAATCTGACAAACTGAATCTGAGTTTATTTCCATTTTTGCCACTTTATTACCCATTACACAATAACAGGTTTACCATCATTTTTATATAATCAACTAACAATATTGTTGAGATGCAGAAAATGTCAAAAGAACACCTTTACATATCTAATTAGTTCAAAAATGACACATGCCTAAATCTGAGGAAAAAACACTTATATATGTAAAAAAGGCATAATTCACCAAAACTTAACCGATCAAGCTTATTTTCAAACTTAATTTGCATTTCAGTAAGACTGATCATTCCTGTGAATTTCAAGACAATTGGTCAATTGATTTTCCTTGAAATGTGTTATCAGTGTTGCATATATGCTGAAAAAAGTGAAAAAACAGCATAATTTTTTATAAAAATGCCCTGATCATGCTGATTTTTTTAACTTGACCTGCGTATTATAAATATTCATCAGTCCTGTAATAAAGCCAAAAGGTAAAATGGTTTTCACTTACCGTGTTATCGGTGTTGCATATATGCTGAAAAAAGTGAAAAAACAGCATAAATTCCATAAAAATGGCCAGTGCTGATTTTCGAACTTGACCTGCGCATTATGAATATTCATCAGGTCTGTAAGTTTCAAGCCAAAAAAGTAAAACAGTTTTTCACTTATTGTGTTATTGGTGTTGCATATAATCTGAAAAAAGTGAAAAAACAACATAAATTCCATAAAAATGGCCTGATCATGCTGATTTTCGAAATGACCTGCGTATTATGATATTCATCAGTTTTGTAAGTTTCAATCCAAAGGGTAAAATGGTTTTCCACTTATCATGTAATTGGTGGTGAAAGTGCACGGCGATGAAGGCGACGACCACGACAGCAACGACAGATGCAGGTGATGGCTATATGTACAGACACATCTGTGTCTGTACATAAAAATTGTCAGATCAAGCTGATTTTCGAATGGATCAGTTCTGCAAATTTGAAGACAATTAATATGTCAAATGAATTACCATTTAGCATGTTATCTCTGAAAGTCCACAGATGCAGATGATATGGCTTTATGCAAACATCCTTTTTAAGAAATAAAATACCCTAATAAACAAATAGAACTCATTCCCAAGTCTACTAAGAACAGTGACAGCCTCAAGGACTTCTATTCCCTGGGCCATGGACAAAATAAACATTTGTTTCAATGAGTCTCTGAACCTTTGAACCCTCTGTTCAAGCCCGATAACTTATACCATATGTTCATTGCAGAGCATATAATAATGCATGTGATTAATGTACTATGTAGTAACTGTATTTATTATTATGCAAATCCATAGTGAATGTATAAATGAGATCTTATAAATAATGTAAATATTTCATGCACCATGCAAGATCACATATATTGACAAAATGAAAATATCTGTAACACTTTAAGAAAGTGTGTGTGAGTTTGTGTGTGTGTGTGTGTGTGTGTGTGTGTGTACTAGCTGTGGATTCAAGTTAAAACTACAATTCATGTGTAGAACAAGTATTACATGTACAGTATACGTAGTTAGTGAGAACTTTGTAAAATGTTCTGCCCAAAGTACATCATACTTATTATTTACAGGCTCCTTATATGGTTCACTGCAGTTTATCTCTGGCCCTGTCTTAGTAAGTATATAAATATTGAAATTGATCAAAGTTCTACAATATAATAAATATAATGGTTCTGTTTCAACACATTGAACTGCATGGGCTGGTTTTATGATAACATTTACACCTTACAAAAAGAGAGCAAGATATCAATATATGAACAGATATCAAAGATAAAGCACAGAAATCAAATGTAGCTTTATATGCAAGAACATGTTTTTTCAAATTAATAAAATGACGAAATTGACAAAGCCTGCTAGTAAATACTGTCAGCTAATTGTTGTCATTAAGTCACTTTATGGTGTCTCGTGAAAAATATTGGAAGATAAGTTTTGCTCATTATATGTATTAAAAGGGCAATGATGCAATGCATATGAGAAAAAGATTTTGTTGGGCAAAATTAGCACATGTAATATAAACTTATATTTCTGCATTTTTACCGACAGTTTCATATGAAACCAGACCATTTGTAATGCCCTGAAAAAACTGACCTTTTAAAAAGAAAGCTTATAGTGTGATAAAGATCAAAATAATTTAAAGTTATTTTTTAATCTTCAATAATAACAAATGTAAAATGAGTACTATATTGTATAACTTTGATATTGAAACTTATATCACTGAGTTCAAGTTCACACTTTGGAAATGTCAGAATGAGAAAAATGAAAATTTCACAAAAAAAAAAAAAAAGAAAAAAAATTGGATAAATTCAAGAAAATATGGCAATCCAATCAAGCTTATTTTCCAATTTGAGCTGTGTGTCAATCCTAAGAAACAAAATTATAAGTAACACATTTGTGGTGGCAGTACACAAAGTAGGTTTTTGTCAATTTTGATGGAATATTACATAATGCTGAACAGCATATAATCACCACCAATCTTTAATTATATGTACTGCAGGTAACATGGACATTTAGAAAATGTGACTAGCAAAGATTTTCAGGCTCATGGAACAATCACACCTTAAAAATGGCAAAATGTAAAGAAGAGATAACTACTGAAATGAGTTTATTACCATTTTCAACACTTTCTTACATAATACAAAATACCCCATTTACTTTCATTTTATATGATTGATTAACAAAACTGTTGAGATGGGAAAAATATCAACTGAACAATTTTAAATGTCCAATTTGCTCCATTCTGAGATTCTAAACATAGTGACTGGTATGAGTTCATTTCCATTTTGACAGTTTATTACACAATACACAACAACCGTTATCATCATTTTTATATAATCAACTAACAATTTTGTTAAGATTCAGAAAATGTCAAAAGAACACTTTTACATATCTAATTAGTTCAGTAATGAGGGTGTTAACATGCCTAAGAATTGAATCTGAAGAAAAAACATTTATATGCAAAGAATTTCGAACCTGATCTGTATATTAGTCCTATGAATCAATCCTGCAAGTTTTAAAGCAAAATGTGACATGGTTTTCATGTTATCTGTATAATGGTTGGATAAAATATGCAGAAAGAAAGTGAAAAAACAGCATTACTTTTGGAGAAATAGTCTGATCAAGCTGATTTTTGTAGTTCACCTGTATTTCAGTAAGATTGATCACTCCTGTGAGTTTCCTGACAATGGGCCTATAGATTTTCCCTAAAATGTGTTTTCAGTATATCATATATATGTAGATATTAAAACAAGCAAAGAAAAAAAACAACTTCTGAAAAAAATGGCCCGCTCATGCTGATTTTTGTACTTGGCCTGTATTTTGTGAATATTGATCAGTTCTGTAAGTTTGAAGACAAAAGGTAAAACATTTTTCCTCTTATCATGTTATCACTGAAAGTGCACAGCTGCAGCGACAGTGAATTGAATCTGAGGATATCTGTGTCTGCACATAAAAACACAGATTCAGTGAAGATTACACGTAGGGAAACATGGTCATATAGATAATAGTTTTAGGGCATATAAATGACCTGGGTTCAAAGCTTGTCCTAATAATGAGATAAAGTTTTGTACACATCTTAATTGGCTAACTGTGAGTGATAATTATTAAAATTTGCAGAAAATATCATATATTTTTCCTTAAAAGCATCAGTCTTTACTAGCACATCTCTTTTAGATTTAATCTGCACATTTGCTCTCAAGTTTTAGAAAATACCAGTTTTGGCATGATATTTTCTAAAAAATCAGCATTTAAAAATTTTTTCACCATTCCATGTCTTTCATAATTTGAATTAACTTCAATATTGATTTTTCTGTGTAACCTTTTAATGTGCATGCTGTTTACCTTTTAATTTTTGTCCTTTTCAGGGCAAGTGGAGTGATGTTTCAGGTCACAGACATGCACTGATTCTGTGTCTCATTCTCTCAGCTTTTGGATACTTCTTATTAGGATTTTCTTACTCACTGGTATTTGTATTTCTGGCGAGAATTCCAATAGGTAGGTACATCTGTACTGCACCAGGGTGACACACTTTTTTATTGCACCATTTTGCTTGAAGGTCTACAGGGTGGTGACAAAAATATTGCACCTGGTCCATTTTGCTTAAAGGTCAACAACAGCTAGGTTTGTTAGGTTTTTCAATTAGTATATTATTTGAAAACTGCTTATGTCAAGTTAGTATCTATACTTCAGGTTTTCAGACCAATGCTTTTCCCTTATATAACACATGTTATTGTCAGTATTAATATTTTGTAGAATAACCACTTGAACTTGATATGGTTAGCATCCTTCAATGACAACCTAGCTTAAGGGACCATTCCCACAGATATTTGGATCAATCTATCTCCCTGGGGAGTCTAACTAAATTGCTATCAAACTAACCAGCTTAAACGTCTGTCACGCCTAGTAAAACTGTGAGGGGGTAATTATCTTTACCCCTAGCTGATTCGGTAGGCGTGACAGACATTTAAGCCTCTTGAGCTGATATCAATTTAGCGTGAACCCCCAGGGAAATAGGTCAATCCAGATGGTACCCAGTCTTACACCCCATTTCCATAGATTTTTAGATCGATCTATCCCTGTGGGGAGTCTCACTAGATTACTGTCAGCTTGGCCGGCTTAAGTGTCTGTCCCACCTACTAAAAGCTGTCAGGGGGTAATTAACTATGGTGTCCGCTCGGCTGACTGCAATTTAGCCTGAACCCCCAGGGAGTTAGGTCGATCTAAAACTTAATCTTTAGATCGATCTAAATCTCTGAGAAAGCACCCTTATAGTGCACATGGATGAAAATTCATCACTGGTTACACAAGTATATCGCAAGTCGCTTTTTTACAGATGGGTCCCCCATGTCACATAGTGTACTATAAGAACGTAACCAACTATACAAGCTTGTGCTTGATTATTTTTCCAACAGTTAAGTCTAACAGCGGCATGGAAATGATTACACCTGCTCAAAGTTCATTCAAGCATTTTGAGGAACAAAATGGCAGATTACTACCGATGACTCCAATGCATCTGACAAAAGAAAAAACATGTGCTTTCAAAAGAAAAATACATTGTATATGTTGCTCAGATTCATTAGGTTGATGAACTGGTCAAATTTACAGCTGTGCTTACTCCTAGCCATGCAGCTTGTTTGCCCTATAGATAAGTGAAGAACAATTATGTAATGAGCATTTAGCACCTATAGGCACTATGTGGAGTAGCCAGCTGCACAAAGACAAAAGTATTTGCACCCAAGCAAAATAATTGCTACTGTCTGACCAAAAGATATTGGGGTCCAGCAAGAATCTTTGTTTGGAATGTCATCACTTAGCTGACCTCAAGGCTACCATTACAGTGCCTTTCAATTTTGTGAAAAAATTAGAGGAATTCTTACAGGTATACATGCTGCTTTTTATCCAGGTATCTTCAAGCACAGTCGTACCATTACCAAAGCCTACATAACTGACATTGTCCCTAAAGATCACCAGTCAGCAACATTTGGCAGATTTAATGCAGTGTGCTCTATTGGTTTTATTCTGGGTCCCCCTGTAGGAGGTCACATAGCAGAACTTCCTGGTGGGTTTCAGTTAGCAGCTATGCTAGCTGGAGGGATCTTTCTTTTAAATGCAGGTAAAAGAATGTGTCAAATAATCTTTCATTCGTGCACACAAGTACATGTTGAGTTGCTACTCCCATAGGCTTAGCAGCCGAACTCTGCAATGTTCTTTCCTTTAAACTTTTATCTGTTAGCTTGGTTGCTTCTTCCAAGACATTGAGCATTTTTCAACATGTGGCTGCATGCCTATTTGTGAGGAAAAACAGAAAAACAGCCATATACGTTGACAGATGTACATACTTTTATTTGATGTTTTGCAGAACATTAATCTCGTTAGAAGAACATGTATGGTAGGATTAGTTATTGCATCTGAGCATGTACTTTTATGAAAAAGTCAAAATGGCCACCAAAACATACAACAGGAAGTGAAAAAGATCAGACCATATCTGATATAATAAGTCTAATTAAAACAACCTCCACCTTGAATATTTCTGTTCATTGTGACATTTTCTTAGCTATGATCATAATGCACATGTATTAGGATAGACTTTTTGACATTAATTAACCTCAGTAGTAAAATTGCTACTCTTGTGGACCACATGGTCAAACCTTGATCTGTTATTTCCTATACACTCAAAAAAGGAATTGCATTTATTTGAGCTAGAAAAATCAAATAAGCTGGAATTTTCTTGGCAGTTGCTACTTTTGGGATATTAATTGGGAACTTTTAAAAAGCTAAAATGGCCATCAATATGTTACATAGAATAAAAGGTTTATAAAAATGGTCTAATTGTCTGTATAAGTTCTAAGTGACCTTAAAATGTATAGTATTTGGCTTGCTTTCCTTGTGTTCTTCTGGATGTTGTCATTAAGTAATAAGTTAATGTTCATATGGATTCTTTGGAGTTTGAACTCCTCTACTCTCTCAACTACAGCAATAAATTCTCTTACAGCACGTATTTACTAATCTTACTTTGCTCTTCTGTTAGGTTTAGCATTTACATGTACTAGAGCTAAAAAAAGTTTATCAATTGACTGTTTTTCTATTTTTCCTCGCAATTGGCAGCCATTTTGATAAATGCTCAGTGTGCTAAAAGTAACAACCAAACTAGATTTACCCCTCTAGCTACCAGTATGAGGGATGCATTTCTGTTAAAGTTTCTAGGAAAGAACATTGCAGGGTTAGAATTCTGACTTCTTGTGTATTAGAGACAATGTTCATGTACAGTGTATACATTCAACTTCTTTTAACCAATGTCCATTTTTCATAACAGTAAACAGTTGGCTAAATGTGAAATTTTTCATTTTCTTTAGTGTTTTAGAAAGTGTCATATATGAGGTTTACATTTGCATTCACATTTACTTTTTTTCTGTTTTAGGCCAGATAAAATGTTTAAGTTGGTTAATGGGCAGCTGCTATTAATTAATTAGTATACAGGGGGGGCTGTCTGCACTTTGGGTGGTTTTAGAGAATAAGGTTTTATCTCGGATCAGTTGTACATTTCTCTTCAATGTGAAACCAATGCCCAATGCATTATTATAAAAAACTTGGTCAGTTAGTTGTGCTCCTTTAACCAACTTATCAATTTTGTCTTGTTTAGTGTGATGATGTCAGAGTATGATCTGAATTTAGATTTTGATTTGTTATAGGAATGCTATGGTTTTGTGTTCCTGAAGTCAACTCAAAGCTCAAGTCAGTGGCAAGTCTAGAGGTCACAGCAACACAAAGTAAACTGGATAATAATAATGAAGAGACCACAAAATCACTTGAATTGCAACCTAAAGTAAGAAGGGTAGCCTTCAGTCCATCTAAGCTTCTATATTCATTTAAATATATTGACTGGAGGAATCTATGGGACATTTTCTTGATAAGATTGACATTAGGTATTGGGACGTTGCTTTACAAAAACCACTATGCTCTCTTCTTGAAAGCCAGGTTTAGTGCTTCCCCAAGCACTGTTGGATATATGATGTCCTACAGTGCAATAGCAAGTGCTTGTACTGGTTTTGTTATAGGAAACATAGCAGATTGGTATAAAGATGACAGAAAATTGTTACTTCACTCAACTTTCATGATGTTTATATCATTTACCAGCACTGTTTTTGTCCCAGATTTATTTTGGCTGCTGATCATTGTAACTCCATTGGCATTCAGCACAGCCATTTCAAGAATTTGTGTAACAAGTCTCACCATACAGAAAGGTCATCGGCATGATTCTGGGGTACTGCTTGGTTTAGGGCAGAGTTTTACAGCCATGGGAAGAATAATATCTCCCACTTTAGCCAGCCTCTCCTCTGAAATCTCAGTTGTAGCACCAAATGTTATATCAGCAGCATGCAGTTTTATAGTTTTTATACTTATGGTTATTTTGTCAAGGAAAAAGCAAGTAGAAGTAAATGAAAAAATCAAGTAAAATGTCATAATATTTCATGATTTTTAAGATACTTTGAACAATACGGTATATGGTTACCCTAACGTATTGAACTGTCATTGCTGTTTATGCATGGGGGGAATACATGTATGTGTTTGAAACAATGAAAAGAAATCTACCTCAAATAAATTTATGATTTAAAAGACCTGCAAGTTTTGAGGGACTTTGACAAATTAGGATTTATTTCTTTATTGGTTTAGAAAATACAGAATGTATTATGAGACAATGCTGTCACATCAAAAATACATCGGAGGTGAATCTTCAAAGTTGATGATGTTGCATGCAGTTGTGTTCATGGGTCGATATCTTAAATGTGGATTTAAAACAGATCTACCTCACTTGATCAGCTATCAACACCACCTATTTAATCACGGCAATGAGGAATTTTTGGAAACTGATGACAACAGTACCTTAGTACACATAACATGGAGATTCAAAAAAGTAACAATTTTCCAATATGAGAGACATATATTATAAAAGGGAGTTTTTGCTTAAATTTTTTTTATTTTTATTTTGTTTGCACAAGTAATACAAAAGCTATTTTGTGAAATGTAGGGCTTGATGACATATTGAGCCCCCTTTAAGATCCACGATGAATAATTATAATGAATAATATTATTATATTTTTGTATTTAAACACATTTTTTTCAAAGAATTTTTACTGTGATCTGAAGTTGATGTAAGTGATGCACCTTTATAAGATGTGAAATTAAAGAAAATTGTTCAAATTGATTTTAATACAATTCGTTTATATTTGTTTGTTTAGGATTCCACCATTACAATAAACTGTTACATTCCAGAAAATATAGGTATTTAACAACATTTCTAATCATTATGTATTACATATCTCTACAGGAACTTTTCTTCTGAATTTCTACTTTGTAATGTGAAAATAGTTGGATCTCAGTTTTGATAGTCAGAAAGTTTTCATTTATGATGGATCCAGATATTTGATTTACCTGTTGACTGTTTCGTCAGTTCACTCTGACAAACTTGGTCACAACTACTAGTGGACAAAGGATGGAAAACGATAATAATGGACGTGAAAGAGTACAATGAGAAAGTGCAACACATGTTAGCAGACACAGTCCCCCCCCCCCTCCCCCTTGGTGAAAGTCACGCCTATGGCTCAGATATGTGGATGACATCCTGGCAATAATACCGAAGGGTACTATAGCAGCAGTGAACCAACACATGAATGGCACTGGCCCCTACAACAGCATAAAACTCACCAATGAAGAAATGAGGGACAACCACATAGCATTCTTGGATACAGACATTATAGTCAAAGCAGACGGGTCCATAAAAACCAAAGTGTACAGAAAACCAACTCACACCAACCAATATTTGGATTTCACATCCCACCATCCAGTAGTACACAAATTGGCAGTGGTAAGGACATTGTTAGATCGCTGTTATGAATTAGTGGCTGAGACAGAGCACAGAATGGAAGAGGAAAACAAAAGAGGCACTGCAACAATGCAATTACCCAAAATGGACAATAAATAAGGTGAAATATCAAATGGGAATGAAAAAGATCAGGAAGAAAGATAATATTATCCAAAAATAAGAAAGACCAAAAAGTGGAAAAATCCAAAGGACAAGTTACAATCCCATATGTGAAAGGAATTTCAGAAAAAATCATGAACGCAGCGAGGAAAGAAGACATCAGAGTGTCATTCAAACCACATGCAAAACTCAGAAACTTTCTTATACGCCTAAAAGATAAAATAGAAGACAACAAGAAGTGTGGAATAGTATATGAAATCCGGTGTGGGAGCTGTGACAGAGTATATGTTGGAGATACAGGAAGAAAACTAGAAAGAAGAACACAAGAAATATGTAAAGTAAAATCTAAGCAAGGGAGTCAACACCAGATCCAAAAACAGGAGTTTTACACAAATCTGCCATCAAAGATCATATGTCAGATAACAACCATGTGCCAAATGGGACAGTGTAAAAGTGCTAATCAGTGAAAATGATTACAGTAAGTGCAAAGTTTTGGAATCCATCTGGATAAGAAGAAAAAAATTAACACGCCATGAACAGAGATGGAGCACACAAGCTGTCCCATGTGTGACGACATTCTCATGTGGGGAAGGGCGAGAGACTTACAAGTCATCATCAAGACTGAGGTTATTACCTGTTCACCTTCACCTGAACAGGTAATTCATTTGTGACCAAGTCAGTAAGAGTGAACAGACGAAACAGGCAACAGGTAAAACAAATATCTAGATCTATCACCAATGAAAACTTTCTATTTCTACTTTGTAGCATTCAGTGTTCAGTTTTTGTATGACATCTACACTATAATAGACCTAGAAGAGCTACATGTAACTAGAAAGTGTGTGTGTGTGTGTGTGTGTTTTTTGTGTGGGAGGGAGGGTGCAGAATACTAACAACAATTCACAGCATAGTGTGACTTGGAAACTGATCAGTGACATCGATATCTCAGGTCAAAGCAATGGCCAGACATCCACTTCCACTTCTGCCCACTGCTTCCATTCTTGAGCCAAAAAATTTCACCTTTCTCTATCTGTACTGTAGGTACCTTAGCTAGGCACTGCTCTGCAGCTTTGGCAGTCGACGGAACAAAATCTTCATAGTTTGATGTATGCACATCGATCTGCTCCTTCCATTTTTAAAGCCTGAAATCAGTTTCTTACTTCAACGAAAGGTGGGCTTATATCTGTATGTTCTCATTTGTTGCAAAGTCACTCCAAATGTTCCTGTATTTGGTAACTTTTGCACTTACAGCTGGCTCTGATTTGTGCTACATCATTAAACAATCCGTTATTGTTTGTACTCTGTGTGGAGCACTGTCATATTGCAAAATCATTTTGTTCCCAAGTGCCCTCTAGTAAATGGGAGGCAGGCAATTGCCAGAATATTCCTGTATTTCATGTGGTTCAGGTTTCCATTGACATATCTGTTAACTGCCTCCAATTTTTGATGAAAAATTAAAGGTCACATCATAGAACCATACGTACATATATGCAGATGAGATCAATCTATTCTATGATTGGACAATATGTCCTACGCACTGCCTTTTCCCCAAATATGATATAACCCCTCCTTTCATTTTGTGTGGATGTTTGAAACTAAGAACAGGTTTAATGGCCATGGTTTTGTGGTAGAACTCTCTTGATCACTCGTACAGGGGCAAAATCCTTTTTATTATCATCTCTGGATCAACTTGCTTTCTGCATCCTTTGGTATACTAGTAAGAACGACAGCTTTTATGTCTCATATTATGGCCCTATTATCCCATCTCTTTTACAAGTGTGTTGAATTCTGTGCTTATAATTTATATCAATTTTAAAACAATTACTTTTCCAAAACGCATGATTGTTTCACCATAATGACTGCTCTTTCAGTTTCATAGTGCATAAATATACAAAAAAATATACTAAACAGTCTAACAATGACTTAAGATATCATGATAAGAAAATACCCTGATATTGTTTTATTACCCCCAACAAGGTTGTTTTTAGTTTTGAAATATAGGTCAAAGGTCAAATCGAATGTCATATTCAAAATCTCCACAATCCATATAACTTTTGGTCAGATTTCTATGATTAGTACCTTTTCTCATAATTTCTTTTGTTTATAAGATATTTAGCAAAAATAAAAAAAAAAACTTTAATTTTTGGAAAAAACATCAATCGATTAATCAGCAAATCTTTTCAGTAAGTTTGAGAATCATAAGTAACATGCTTTTTCTTTAATATATAGTCATTATAACAGCATTGCTGAAATTAGGGCTTCCTTACGTTTTATTGCAACATTACATAATGGTTTACAGCATAATCACCCCCATATTCAGAATATGTTACTAGCAAAGGTCTTCAAGGAAAAAAAAGCACAACTTTTTGAAAAATGGTCCGATGAAGCTGATTTTTGAACTTGACCTACATTTTATGAATATTCATCAGTTCTGAAAGTTTGAAGACAGTGAAACAATTTTCCACTTATTGTCTTATCTGTGTAAGTGCGCGTTGAAAATGACAACAGCAACAACAAAGGCAATGGCTATATACATAAAAGATATTTTCACCAAGCCGCTATTCAAACATTTTATTTAGCTGTATAAACATAAAATGAATCACAGAGTTTGAGGATAATAAAGTGCACTATTATTCATATATAGCGTTGATGCTGACAGTACACAAAATACTTTTTTGTCAATTTATATATGCAATACTATGAAACACTTACATTCATAATTATCATCAATTTTCAATTATGTAACACTGCTAATGTAGACTTTCAGAAAATGTATCTGGCACAGTGCTAAATGTATGGGAGTTCAAAGTCACTCGCAATGTGTGTTTTTTATGTTATCTCACTTAATGCATACTTGCTAAATAATATGTCCAGTGATTGAATAGCTCTGTAATTACCCAGGGGACAATAAATGTACTGATCAGCCCATGTGTCCACATATCACAAACTAAATGTGTCAGGAGGATTCCACAAAAAAACAGCAAAACTTTGAGAAAAATATTTCAAATGGGCTGTTTATTTAACGCTCAACTGTTATTAAATAATTTTAATCCCTCCTGTATATTTGAAGACAAAAGGTTTATCTTTCTCTGCCTAATGTGCTACCTGCAATACATATATAGTATAATACATATGCTTTAAAAACAAAAAAACAAAATCTGATTTTTAAACATGCCAAACTGTTAGTAGATACTAACTACTGTTAGTAATTAATATAAAGACACTAATTAAATATAAAGACACTAAGTCAACAGGCTTTCCACTGTATGTGTTATCTGCAGTTGGTATAATTTGCGGTAAATAATTTCAAAAAATCAATCAAGCTGTAAGTTTGAGAATCATAAGTAAGATGGTGATCCTTTTATGGTCATTATGGCATCATTGCCCAAAATAGGGCTTCCTTCAACTTTGATGCAATATTACTTAACACTTAATAGCATAATCACCATCTTTTTAAATAATAAAAGTATCATGGATATTCAAATAATGTGACTAACAAAGGCTTCCAGGATGATGGAAGTTCAAAGTCTACCTTGAAAATGAAGGTTGATGTGAATGGAGATGTGAAAAATGAACATTTCTCAAAAATGCATAACTTACAAAAATAATTTTAAAAATTTAATAAATCCAATCAGACTTGTTTTCAAACCCAACCTGTATTTAAGTCACTTCCAAGAGACCTGTAAATTTGAAGCTAATAAGTAAAACGATTTACCTTAAAATGTGAACTTATCTGTATTATACATAAACAGTATACGTAATATACGCTGTACACATGTTTTAGATTGAGAATTTGGGTGGAATAACAAGCTTGGTGCAAAAAAACCCAGAACAGTCAAGTTTTGTAAGGCTGATATAAACTGCTCATGATGTCAGTCACTGTTAACATCGCAAAACTGGGTCACTTTTTCTATGTTTACTTGCATTTGTTGTTTTTCTAGATTTTGCTCGATTTCACATGATTTTTCATTTAAGTTCTACCCATGAAGCTTGGAAAGAAACTTGTCAACATCCATCTTGGAAAGCTTTTTCAACTTGCTCTGAAACCAAACAATACAATATTTATTAATATAGTAATGTTTTACTGATAATAATCACTTTGGAATAAAAAATTATGAGACAACTACATCTTGCTCTTGTCACAATAGCATCATCAGCGGGGGTGTAGCTTGGACATTTAAAAAGGTTGGACCAGGGGAAATAGCAAGGAATCCATATATACATCTGTCAATTCAAGAGACCCACGCTGGGATTCTAGCTGCCCCTATTTATAACCTGGTTATTCCCCCAATTTATCAACCAAAGTGAGAATTGCTAATAGGTCATCAGCCATGCAACACTCAGTGATCTGTAGCTATTTCATAAATATTCTGTTCCGAAGTAAGTGATAATTATCACTAAAATCAATGTTACTTTTACTTTTAAGTATTAAAATAGGAAATCTTATAGTGGAACCATGAACAATCTGATAGAAAAATCTTTTTAGGGTAAAATATCTGCAGCAGCTGATGTTATTTATACATACCCTTAACAATGAACATTTTCTACTTCTGACATAAGACGAATTAAATGCTTTTATGTTCAGATACAATTTAATGACATCATGGCAGTAAATTGCTTTAAACTATTTATCAGATTTTCTTTTCCTTACTTAAGGGATTGTTACCTTTTTTGCTCTGGGCTCATCACATTTTCCCTGAAAAGATATATACCACACTTACATCAGTTGATGAAGATGTTAAAAAAGCTGATGCCTCCTTTATGATGTAAATGTAGACTCTGATTACAGTCTGACACTTATTGCACAACCATGATTCATTTTTATCAACTACAGATCCTTTCATGTTTTGGGTCATTTTTGCAGAAAAAGCATAAAAACGATGCCCAATTAAGTGTAAAATATATATTCTAAGAATGCTTTTCACACACATCCTAAAAACGTGAAACAAAAAATGTATTTCATCAAATTATAGTATACAGGGCTGATCATATAATTGTATAGATGTATATGCTGGGTGACCCCCCCCCCAAAAAAAAAAAAAAAAAAAATTATTAAATCTTACAAAGGTTCATCTAATTTCAAGAAATCTGCTGGACTTAAAACTTCAATATGAGTATGCTCATTCCCCAAAGTTTCAGTTATCTTGGTCGCTTTCAGAATAGATGATCTGAGTATTAACTGCCACATAGCAATTTTAGGAGAGACTGATCGGCAGGAAGTGTGATGTCGAGTGGGCACTGTATTCACCGACTTGAACCCCACCCCCAGATTTTTTTCTGTGGGGGTACCAGATTTTTTTCTGTGGGAGTATCTCAAAGCTGAAGTGAACCAGAACAACCCTCAAATGATTGGTGAACTGTGGGGAGCATTCACAGCAAAAATTCAGGAAATCCCGAAAGAGGAATGTGCTTGAGAAATTGATAATTTTTTCCCAACATATGCAAGTATGCATCCAATGCATTTGAAGCCATTTGGAGCATATTTTTAAAATGAATATAATTTTTATGCAAAGCGACCAAGAAAACTGAAACTTCAGGGAATGATCATGCACATATTTAAGTCCAGCAAATTACTTTGATAGATCTTTGTAAAATTAAAAAAAAAAATGGGTTCTGTTTTTTTGGGTCACCCTGTACTATAAGGAATTGTTGAAATGAAAAATTTATTTAGCAGTTTTTAACATGATTAACCTGCTAAAAAATGAATGGCTCACCCTCTCTCTCCTTTTCCGGCCCCTGGGTTTCATCTCCTGACTAGAATCAACCTTCTTGCCACCTGTTGCCATCTGCAGGGAGGCAGTGGTGTTTTCAAGGTCTGGATCCATTAGGTCTGGTAACCTAGTTGCAAGACAGACCAATGTTTCTGCCACTTCACTTTCATTACTATCTTGAATTGTTTTTGAAGGGACTGGTGTCAGTTTACTGGTAGGCTCCACAGTACTGTGCTCTATATTATCTTTAACTGATGTGAACATTGCTGCTGTCATCTCTGATTTGTGGAGCTCTTGTGACACAAATTTTGTAGTGGCACTACTGTCAGAGCATGGTAATAACTGATTGTTCCCAGCTGCATCATCATTAATAATGTGTGGTGCTGTTTGAGAACTAGTCACAGTTGGTAATATCACGGCAGGTGAAGTCAATTCCATCTGTAGTATTGGCTGAGGAGAGATGGCTGTACACATGTCCCCTTGGGTTGGTGGGTTTGATTCCACTTTCTCCAAGACAGATGGAGCAGAGAAACTAAAAACAGGCAATTGACCACTTTCATACTTTTTAGTGCTATATTTGGAACAACTTCTTTTGTGATTTATGTTTTTATGCTTATGCTTGTGAATATGTTTGTTTTGTCTTCTCCTTTCTGTACAGTCAGGTTTAGCCTTTTCTATGCAAGGATATGGCTGATAAGCCTGATTGGAATTCTCTCCAAAGACTGTTGCCCATGTCTGCCTACTGAAGGCTGGTGCTGATGGATGTTGCCTCAGAGCTGGTGCTGCTAGGGCATCAGACGCAGGACACAGATCTGACTTTTCAACAAAGGTTAAATCAATACCATTTGTCTTTTGTGTAAGCAAGTCCTTTGACTGAGGTGGGCAAACCAAATCACTCAGGATTACCTGTTGTGCATTTTCTGCAGATGGCATAGCCACCTGATTGGCATCGTTTCCTTGGGCTATTTTTTTACCTTCCATCTTAGCTCTGAGCAAATCCCTAACTGTTTCTTTTTTAGAATTCAGGTTTTTCTTAGGATGCAAAGATGGCAGTTTCCTTTCTTGAAAAACATTGATTGTCTCAATGGGCCGTTTACCTACAAAGAAGTTGGTCTCCACATTTCTGTCTGTTTTTGGTGCCCTTCTTCTCTGCTTTTTATCACATATTACACCTTCGTCTGTAGGAAGAGCTGCTTTTGATTTAGCAGTGACAGGTTTTGAAACTTTTGAATCCTTCTTAAAGGACAACACTCTAACATGCTTTGTAATTGTCTTCTTTGACATGTTGTTTCCCTCTACCATGCCACCCTGAGCAGCTGGACATGGACTGTGAAAATAACCTAAGTGTGAGTGTGCAGTGGAATCTGAACTAGGAGTAAGTAATATAGCACCGGGAGAAATGGTCTGAAAAGTTGAGTTTGTATGCAGACCTGAGCAAATTCCTGATATTTCTTGTTGTTGTTCTGTACTTTTGTCACTGGACTGTAACAGACTTGCTGTTGGTGAACTATCAGAGTTGTTATCTTTCAACAGTTCTGTACTTAATAATCCATCAGGGACATAAGCAACATTTAATGGCACTGATGGTTTGCTTGATTTGGATCTGGATGTTGAAGGTTTCAGTCCTTGATTCTTCTCTACAGAAATCTCAATTATAGGTTTCTCAGGAGATGCCATATTAATCAGAGCCTTCAAACCTGAAAAGAGAAATACAAAATATTGAGATTAAATTGTAAAACCTCTATATTTTTTGAGGGAACATATTCACTTTTTTGAATATCTAAGATTTGGTGAATATATTGAAAATACTAAGCATATTAGAAATGCACAGTGTAAGATTTTTTGAAAAACTACTGAATGAATTTTCCTGGATTAAACAATATTTTTCTCTAACTAATCAACCAATGGTCCTCCTTTGCTGAAGCACCCTCTGCGATAATCTTGCAAAATAAAAAAGTCCATCACAACTCTTAAAGGGATATAAACTCTTTCGGTGAGTTAAGTGCAAAAAAAAAAAAAAAAAAA